CCACATCAATATTGTTAACAATATCAATAATTATTATTATTTAAGTAAATGATGATATAATCATTACTGTATGATGACTATTTTGATTATCACATGATAATTTTAACACCCTAACCCATTATATGAAATACACAGATGAGGAAATACCTGAAACTGAGGAGATAACTCTCTTTGCTGGTGAAAACACAGCAGTGGAAGAGTGGGGACGTCTAAAGGGGCTGGAGGTGAAGCTTGAACTGTGTGACACACCACGGACAAACGGTGAACCACAGCGTTGCAGATTAGGATTTGATGATGCAGTCTCTCGTAAACCTGAAAGATGCATATTATGTGGTAAACTCAATTTTTTACCCATGGAAGTATGGTGTGAACTCCTCCTCTTTGGCGTGGCTCTATGCTGCGCCTCCATTTCCGACTCTTCAAATAGACTCCATGAAGACCCATGTTGTGAGTCATTCCTGGCCTGCACCTCATTCAGGTACTCCTGGTATTCTTCTTGTGTCCTGCTTGATCTGGGACTAGTCTCGGGAAGCTCAAACAATGTTTCAACAGATATTTCCCTGTGCAAACGGAAGCTCCCCTCTCGAGAGAAGGGGCTTCCACCAGGAGATTTACCCCCTTCTGAACAGTGTTCCCTGATTTTCCCAAACACAAGAATCTCCATTGAAGATGAACGTTTATTAAGTTGTGTCAAAATACCCGACCCTTCTTTCCGCTTACATACAGGAGATACTGCTACTTTGTTAAGGTCAGCTCCTTCACTCATGGTTCTGCTATGTTTTTCAACTGTGGGTTTGAAGCCAATTGTTACTGAAAAGCTGTTGTTAGAACCTCTGAGGGCTCTTGTCCCCATAACAGGGGCAGGAGGGCTCATGTCACGACTGGCAGGAAGACTATATGAGGATGCTGAAGCAGGTACAAGCCTTCTTTTTGGAGAGGTATGGGGTGACGTCTGAGGTGAAGAGTGACTTGACGAGAGCATGGGATTGTCTACCGATTCCTGACTGCTGGAGAGGTTTCTTGTAAGGACGTGTCTATACAATCGTGGGGATGGTTGATTACCCATGCTAGTCTTACGAGTGTGATTTACAATGCGTTTTGGAGAGGAGTGGTGGCTACTAGCAGGGCTTTCACTTTCTGAGCCGGAAGCACCCACTACAGAACTGCTTCTACATGATGAACCAATCTCTGCTGGGCTGCTTAGTGGACGTACATCTACAGGGCCACTGATTACTGGACGCGTTTTGCCATTAGCTGCTACAGGACTATGTTTTACCTTATCTACATCACGCTGCTGCGTGCTACTTGCAACTTTACCTTGACTGGTATGCTTCTTGTCATCCAGCAGCGGAGAATGTGTGTTGCTTCGACTCTTCCTCTCAAACTTTCTGAACAGAGAGGGAGAGGAAAGCTTCTCTTGGGATGAAGAATCTTTATCTTTATCCTTATCCTTCTCTTTCTCTTTCTCTTTTTCTTTTGGTTTGCTCCTCTTTAGCAACCCCTTTAGAGATGACATTGCTGATTTTTTTTCAACAACCCCCACTTCCTTCTCTTTCTTCTTCTTTTTAACCTTTTCATCTTTTTCTTTTTTCTTATCTTCCTTTTTAATTGACAAGGACCCCACCGGAAGTGTTGCACTCCTATGCATTTCCTTGCTTTTCTCCTTCCCCAGCTTGTCTTTACCCTCAGTGTCAACAGAAAGGACTTTCTTCCGAGCCCCCCTTGCCTTCTGCTGTGCACTGATCTGGTCAAAATGGGGAAATTTGTCCAAAGAGCCCTGTGACTTCAAACTCACTTTCTCACACTTCATACCCAGGTCTTCTGACTTGGCACTTGATATAGATCCTTGATGATGCCCTTTACCTTCCTTGCTGGAGCTGGTTCTCTCCAAGCACTCCAGGGACCCACCTACAGCCCAACCACCCCTTATGTCCCCTTTGGAAACTGATCTTTGTTCATCGAGAGTCAGAGTGGAGAGTCTCTCATTTCCCTCTGTCTTCATCTCTGGTTCAGATTTGGCAGAATATTCTTCATTTGAGGTTACATTGCTGATTTCGCTCTCCTCACTCTCTTTAGACTTCAGAGATCCTGTTCCTTGTGATTTACATTCTTCCAGGTCAGGAACTTTGTCAAAATCGAAAACTTTGCCTTCCCTCTTTGAGGTAATTATGCGCTTCTCGTTTGCCTTGTCGCCAGTGGTGTGATCATTTGCATCTGAACCTGTTCTTCTTCGTGTAATCGTTTCCTCAGCAGCCACAGCTTCCTTGGCACCTGAAAATGACGAGTTTGTCTTACCAGTAGTTCTTGGAGAAAGTGGAGACAAAACTGGGGACTGTGGTACACTTTCATCATTATCTAAAATCTTTATTGCCACTTTATTGACTGGAAGCACCTCCATCTCTGATACTCTCTGTATGGCTATAGCTGTGTCAGACCTCTCCAAGTTGGCCATTCGCGCAAGCTTTGGTTTGGAATGGTCAACAGTGTCATCTAAGGGTGGTTTACTTAAATCAAAAACTCTATAATCTGAAGGCTTCTGAGACTCCTCTATCAAATTGTTAGTTTGAGTTGTGAATGGGGATATAGGAGATTCTTGAAAAACAGGATTAATAATGGTATGTCCATCTGCTGCAATCACCCATTCACTATCATATGACCTAACCCGATCATCATAAATAGCAGATTCTTTATGACTTCTGCTCTCCGTATCTGATACTCCAGACTTCAGGACAGTCTGTGGACCATGTATCTCTTCAACATTTTTCTGTTTGTTTTGAACGCTATCATCTGCTCTCTTTGATCTCACTGCTGGATGAATCACTCTTGTGGGCTTGCATGAACTTTTAGTATCACTTACCTTTTCTACCTTGGCTTCACCCAAAGTCCCATTATCAGTTTTCTTTACATTTATTGACTCTTTTGATGGTACCCATCCTTCATTATCTGTCTTAGTGGCTTTCAATTCTTCTTGAACAGCTGTTATTGGCTCCATCTCATCTTCTATGTGAGTATAATCATCTGTTAATGGGGCACCTCCTGTGCATCTCAGTGGAGCTTTACTCTCTGCATTCTTGTTCTTCCACTCAACATTTTCATCACCGGTATCAGATTCAACTGGAGCTTTGGGCTGTTCTTCTTCTATCAGAACATTGTCTTCTGCCACAGTGAATCCCTCTGATATCTTCCTAAATTCTGATACAACAAGAGGTTTATCTTTCTCTTCCTTCTGAATTTGGCTATCTTGTGCTGCATAATAATCAGCCATCTTAAATACACTCCCTTTGCCCATATGCTCTTCCCATCGGCCATCTTTTCCACTTTTAATTTCCTTGGATGGAATGACTGCAAATACACTCATAGCAACCTGTGGGTGTTCAATTCCTATTTGATCAGCCATATCTATTTTGGGACAATAAATTACAGGTCTACCGTCAAAGATGTAGTTTTCACTGGGTGGAAGGAAGACTTCATCCTCCAAGTCAGAAACTCCACTTCTGCTTGAGTGCCGGCTTGGTCTGTCTGAATTGCTACATGTTTCCCGAGCATTTGGACTCGATTTGTCACTTACATCACTCTTTGACTTGTTAGACTTTCTGCTCTTTTCTGCTTCAGACGTAGGAACTGGCTGACTGCTGCTCTCCTTCTCCTCTGCACCAGATATGGAGGTCTTCTCTGACTGATGGCTCTGTTTTGTCGTAGATTCCTTTGGAGAATCAATTTCTTGGCTAGGAACTTTTTCAGCTGCACTGACATCTCTAGGGATCTCTTCAGACTGACTGGTGGATGATGTCAGTGTGGATCCTCTAGATTTGTGTCCTACTGAAGACTGTTTTCTTTCAACTGAACCAGTAAGTGAACTTCCATTAATATCTTCTCTGCACAATGATTCATCACCTTTCAGCTCTGTTGAGTCTACCCTGTTCATCACATCTGACAGTCCCTCATTCTCCCCTGATTTACCCTCAATTGCAGTATCACAAGGTTGGTCAGCTCCTGATGATACTGCAGGTGCAATAGCAGAATCTTTATCTTTGTGTTCTACTCCTTCACCGCTGCTGACACTAATTCTATTGTTCATTCCAATGTGACTTATGGGAGACTTGCATGGCTCCCCATTTTCCTTCCCTTTGTCAAAGTCTCCTGTCTTGCTGATATCCTCATATTCTGAACATTCCTGAAGGCTCTCTGGGAGCTCCATTTGGTCTTCCTGTGATCCTTGTGACTGAATCTTATTATTTTGTTCCTCAGCAGACACTTTCGATATAACTGTATCTTCTGATGAAATGGACTCACTGGTCTTTCTCTTTGATGCTTCACTTTCCTCTGGCAAATATTTAGCAGACTTTTGATCAAATTTCTCTGATGTACTAGCTTTATCATAATCCATTGAAAGTTTCTGCAACCTATTGCAATAATCTACAATATCTGTTGATATAGAGGTCTTCTCTGCATGTCTCATCAGATTTTGCTGAGTCAACTTTTCTCCTCCAGCCTTTGGAGATAATTCATCCCTTCCTGATATATCCTCAACACCTGCTGCAGTCTCATAATGTGAACCTTTAAGATATGTATTAGGAATTCCAACTGAATCTAGATCTAGATGAGATGATTCCGAGCCATATCTCAAGTATCCGTTGTCTTGATAAATGCCATCGGAGACGCTTCCTCTTGCAGATCCTTCCTTAGAGACAGGGCCACTCTCCACAAGGGTAATATCACCAGCATTTGAAGAGAGTGTTTCCATGTCATCTGAGAGGGTATCCGTACCAGGGAACTTATCCGTGTCAGTGAGATCAAGACTATCTTTTGATTTACTTAAGCAAACTCCCCTGTGCTCACCTGGCCCGCTATCTTCCACCATGGCTCCCTCTGGTACAAGAGGTTCCTTCAAACTTGAGAAACCTGACTCTGCTGCAGATTCTACTGGACTGACCAGTGACTTGCAAAGGGATGAATTTATGCTGCTCACATGTTCATGCATTGCTATATCCACACCAGAATCAAACAAGGAGCTAGGGTAACTTTCTCTATCTTCTTCCTGTGTTGAAGCTGCTGCTGCCATGGCATTCACTTCAATATTCTCCTCCCCATGGACTGCATCCACATCAGTACACTTTTCTACATCAACAGGATCAAACTCAGACCCTTTCTCAAAGATGGCTTCAGATCTTATTTCATCCCTTGATTCTAACAGTGTTCCACTCATAAGGGACATTGCAGCCATTCGCTCTTGCCTGATCAACTCACGTTTTGCAGCTAAAGCCTTTTCTGAATCTATTGGTGCACTAGTCAGTTCTATAACCAGTCCTAAATCATCATTCAGGCTATCTGGCTGAGATGAAAGCATTCTGTATGGAAGAGATTCAAATGAACTTTCACTAGTGGTGCTGGATTTTGTATTCAGTTTGTGTATATCTTTGAGACATCTTGGTTTCTGTGAACTATCGTCATCACTCACTTCATCAACCTGGCCTTTCTCTTGGACCTCTAAATGGTTGCCATCCCCATTTTCTTCAACTTCACTAATAAGTGAAAGTTTATGATTTTTCTTTTCACTAACAGCTATGTTCTCCTGGGCACTGTCTAAAATAATGGGTATATCAGAATACTTGTTATCATTACCTGCCAGTGGCTTATTAATATCTTTGACTCTGTATGAATCCATGTTCTCAACTGATATGGAGTCAGTATCTGTTGGATATACTTTTTCTTCAGTAGTAGGACTGCTAACTTTTTCCTCTGTTTCAAGTGATTCAGTGATCTGTGAACTCTCTTTCAAAATTGGTGACTCATCAGCAATTTTGTTCACTTCAGCTGGCTCCTTTTCTCTTATTCCACTTTCTGTTTCTAAGTCAATTAGCTTCTCTGAGGTATCTTCTTCCTTTGTGTGGGAATCTTCCATTACACCATTTTTGTGGAGTTGGAGCATTTCCAGCATCTTCTCATTAGTTCTGCTAGGTTCATCAAGGTTTCCATTTCCAATAAATGTTTCAGAAATGTTGATGACTGCCTCACTCTTTACAATAAGAGAGCCTGGCAATTCCTCCTTTTCCAGCCAAGCTCTTTCTTGAATGCTCTGGTCCTCAAACCTTGTGACACTTCTGAATTCGTCATCATTATTTGGAATATCAATACAACTTTCACGCTTCATAGTAGGTGGCAGAAGTTCCTCACTCTTCACTAATTTCTTTTCACTTCTTCCTGAGGATTTACTTGCACTTTTCCCACTTACTGGAGAGAGAACTGGAGACTGATCTTCTTCCATTGATTTATCAGGGCTTTCTTCTTGTTTTGCAAAATAATTACTTACTTCTTCCTCACTGAAGCCCTGTACTGGAGCCTTCTTTGTATCAATAACTGACACACGACCTTCATCACACCCTCCAATAATTTCAGTGACTAACTTTTCATCATCTTCAAAGCTTATGGATATACTGATCTGTTGCACATCTTGTGTCTTGGTAACCTCATATTGGTCATTTAGGACCCTGGATGTTGTTGTATGAATGACCTTGTCTCTGACATTCACATTTACACCCTGACTACCATTATGGGTATCTGCCTCAACACTTCTATCACCATTACCTTTAGCCTTTGGAATAAGGTGGTGATATTCAGAACTGCCATGTTTTACTAGATAATTTTCAACAATGTTTGCAAGATTTTCTTTTATTATATTTGTAGCTCTACTTAGATCAGCTTCACTACTAATTCTCACAGGGTGTCTCCTGGGTTCTTGTGTAACAACTGCTTTTTCTTTAGTGTCAGAGAATGAGAATTTACTTGGTGGCCCATCATCCTCACTAGTTGAACTAAAACTTTTCTTGGCCCATTCTCTGCGTTCTTGAGCAGAAGAAACTGCTCTCTGATAATACTCAGCTGCCTCTTTCACAATCTCCTGTTCAGCTTTGCCAGGCACTGAATACTGTATGTTCTGGCAAATTACCTTCCCAGGGACACACCGATATGGATAACTACATTCTGACGAACCCCTCCGAACTTTCAACAGTGTCTCACTCCTTCTGGAAAATCCAGCAGGTCCATTCATGCATCTCAAGGTTCCGTGTTGATAGACATTGCCTGCATCCACAACTTTCGTTTTCTCGTCGGACTCCTGCCATAAATCTTCCATAGGATTAGACACTATGGAACACGGTTTCCTGTACTGTTTGCCTTCCAGCTGGTTGAGGACTCCCCGGACTGACAGTGGCTGTCCCGACACAACTTGCTGGCCAGACACTGCCCATCCTCTGGGATAGAAATTATAAACATTACAAGATAGATCATCAGTGTCCGATGTTGGATAATCACTGACACTGTCGTACGATGACTGAGGGTCGAGGCTAGAAGCCCGTTTGTCACTATCACTAGATGATTGAGGGTGAAGAGTTGTGGATGTATCTGTGGCACTCTCTGCTGATGACTGCTGACGCAATACAGCAGAAAGGGTCGGAGGATGCAGAGAGATACCACAAGCCTCCATGGGATCGCCTTCTCTGACTGATAACTGGCCCACTGAAAAGAAAAGAAAAAAATAGCAGATAAGTAACATTTCTTTCCTTAAAAAAGCAAGATATACAAAAATAGCATATAATTCTAAAAAAACTAAAAAAAAGCTACAGAATAAATCAATATTCCTTAAAGGCATAATTACAATAAAATTTGATATACAACATAAATTAAAGTAAAAATATAAATCAACAATAATGAAAAAAAGAAAATAGGCTAGTTGCTCCTACAGTGATATAGCATTTCTGAAGTTTTATGTTCTTCCAGTCTAGTTCAGCACAATGTTAATCATACAGAAAAAATCTAAAACATATACTAAATAATTTTATACAGAACGACAAAAAAATTGTGAAATTATAGTTTCCCACTATTTACTATTTGCTCTGACATGCAAATTAAAATACTTTTTTCATCCAACAGTCATCAGTATATCAATGAATTTACAAAAATAACAAATCATAATTTCCTTTTTATAAACTTGCTGTAAGAATTTTTCTTTTCTTTTTGAGCACATGAAAAAATCCAGAATGAACTGATCACTAAGATGAATTTGAATTGATTACATAAAAAAAAAAAATACTCAAGAACAATTTTCATGCTGTCATAGACATTTGCTTTTAATGGTAATTAGCATGAGTTCATCAACTGCACATAAAATATTACAAGAACATTTTTTTTCTCTTTCTAATGCATTTAGAAAATTAAAAAACACCATCAGTCTTCATCCTGTTTATTAGGATCACTGGTTCTAATAATTAGTAAAGGAAAAACTAGAAAACAAAAAAAAAAAAAAAAAAATACTCAAGAACAATTTTCATGCTGTCATAGACATTTGCTTTTAATGGTAATTAGCATGAGTTCATCAACTGCACATAAAATATTACAAGAACATTTTTTTTCTCTTTCTAATGCATTTAGAAAATTAAAAAACACCATCGGTTTTCATCCTGTTTATTAGGATCACTGGTTCTAATAATTAGTAAAGGAAAAACTAGAAAACAAAATAAAATCATCAAATCTTAAAAAAATGTTATTGAAACAGTGTGATGCATGACAACTGAGAAGAGTTGCTTATAACCTATGTATCCCAAGCAGAAAAAAATATTGTTACAGCATTTAAAATTAATATAATACTGTGATAAGCAACACAATACAACCTTGACTAGGTTAATTAGCCCAGCAAAAAGGCTCATCTTTGTCTGCAACTTCTTTACTGATGAGAAATTGGTTGAAAAAAGTAATAGATATATTTCACAGTTCACTAATACAATGAATTTACAATACCATTTTAACCATACTGTCATAATTCTTTTCTGAGTCTAACAAACGTAAATGAAATGAACAAACACTAACATCATAATATTCTGACAATGAATACTTTTTTCATTCATTAATCTTAGTCATTTAAGAGCATTCTGAATTCCCAAACTTTGAGAAAATTATTCTGATGGTTGCTGTTACTCAGCTTCAGTAGTTTTTAAATAACAATCAGATTACAAAAACACATGAACTACACATAACTACAAAAATGATATCATAAAAAAATACACAAGATATATGTTGGAAAGACATGGAAACATTGGGCCTGACTGACTAGTCTGCCAGACAACTAAATTCATCATGGTAACTTATATCTTTAGCATATAAAGGATCTTAAACAGACACTTATATACTGGTTTTCATTCTTAATATTCCATTAGGCATTCATACTTACTTTTTGGACAATAGAAATAAATGCTTAATCTATTGATGCTAGGATGGCATATACAGTCATGCCATATCCACTGTGATTTTAGTTTATCAATTTTGTTTACACAAATGACTCCACAAGAGCTTAGTGACCAAGAGGTGTATTCGTATTCTAATAATATTACGGTAAGCATAATGACAATAATGATAATAACAGCATCGACATTAATTAACAGCAGTGTAAAATTTTGAAAATCAAAAAAATTCAGGCAACGGGGATATCTAACGAGGTCATATATGGCCTATTAACTGACTTCTTGGTGAGTCAGCATTTGCCGAGCTACCTGTATAAACAAAATTCAGAAAACAAAACTACAGTGTACAGTACATACACCCAGCACCAATGGGTTAATTTGCTGCATTTTTTTATCTTTTACATTATATCTTCTATCAGTCATTAGCTTACACAGTCAGTCAAGCCCATAAAACAACAAATCTAAAGTGCTATGAATAATTTAGGAAATTTTGAAATAAAAGGATGCATCTTGAAGATGTATCTGCTTTACTTACTGACACTTGCAATATATGAAAATTATATCTCACCGGTAGCTTTCACATTCACCTCATGTCCTTGAATTCATGCATGCAATTAAGCAAGCACACATAGAATTCATCATGCACACACAAATAAACACAGAAACACATATAGATGTATTCATGCCAGCAAACAACATGTAAACATTTAAACACACACACACATAAATACACATATGCACATGCACACACACACACACACACACAC